TTGTATTCGTGCAGGGAGTGTTTTTGGCCCGCAGCAGGGCACTACTGTAGCAGAGTTTACGCAGAACGCACACGAAGATAAAGTACTAAAACAAAATCATATCTACTGCTGTAGTATCGCCTGGGTCCGGTATTGTCAATATGTGATGATGGCGAACCGCGTGCATGTGGAAATTTGGTCGACTGATTACACTTGCGAGAGCGCCTACAGGGGCTTTGTATTCGTGCAGGGAGTGTGATCGGCCCGCAGCAACGCATCACGGCAGCAGTATATGCAGAGAATACACAAGGATGAATTACTAAAACAAAGCGATAACTACTGCTGTAGTGTTGCCTGGGTCNATGGTGCGTTCAAACAGCGCTTGTAGCACCGGTGAGTACGACATCGGGACCGGCAAGCCAGCACATGACACGCGCAGTCTTGTACGTGACAATGTTGTGTCAGCTCAGCTCGTTGCACCCGGTGCACTTTGAATCGAAAAATATGGAAAATGCTACATACGGGGAAAACAATTATCGCGATACGGTGTAGTTTTCAGAACTTTCGAGAGCTGCAAGAAGTACCCTCGCGTACAGATACTGGCCGCCGTCGCCGCCGTCGCCGCTGCCGCGGCAGAAGCAGCAGCAGCAGCAGCAGCAGCAGCATGACGGACGCTGTTTGTTTGTGGAAGACGAAAAAAAAGCCGTTGCGAAATTTAAAAAAAATCAAGGTTTGGACACCAGCAACCTCTCACAAGAGGTGGCACTCGTTGCAAGCTTCCAAATATGTTACTCCCCCTCCCTTGCTTACAGCAGGCAACAACGAGAGCGAGTGCCACGCGCAGCAAAGCCTGCTGTAGTGTACGCATGCAGCGTGCGCTTTCGACCACTCGCGATGTTCCCAGCCTGCTGCCACGAACAGCGCACCGATTTGAATATTGAGGAACATGATTGTGTGTTTACCCAATTTACGACTTGCCTGCTGGAAGCGCAGCCGCTGCCGCCACAGCTGCTGAGGATGGGACTGGATCTCTCATCGTGCGCTTGTAGAGCTTGCCGTGATGGCTGTACTCCCAGCCTGTCCTGGAGTCCAAGACGCCGGCAAGCGCTGCCTCCTTGAACTCTGCTGTCTTTTCGCCTTGTCTCCCTTCCGCTTTGTGAAGTTGAGGAACAACCGCCACATGCCACTGTTCTTCTCTGGATAGCACACGGGCATGGACGTCTTCTCCCACTGGTCTGTGGCTGCGGGGAAGCGGCTGGAAGCCATGCTGTCGCTCTCTGCACGGTGCTGCGCAACAGCAATGTGTGCTGCTGCTGTGNGGGTCAGCAGAGCGATAAAATACAAGAAAACAAAATATAATCAGAAACAAATAAAATAAAATAAAATAAATAATTAGACTAGTGGAACGGCCGCACCACCAGCCTGGGGGGGTAGCCTCCCACTACATGGAGGCAGGTCGACGGCCAAAGGAAGGGGCGGGGGTACGTGCCAGTAAAAAACAAAAGACAAAATAAAACAGAATAAAGCAAAGACGAGGACACAAACACTTTTTGCTAAGGAGGATTCTTAACGAGATTTGTTCTGTTGGAATATGCCGACATGCGCCCTACTTTTCGGAAAATGCCGATTTCTTGTCGGAAAATGCTGAAAATGAAGCGTCGGAATTTTTCGGGCGCCGCTTCATTTTCTGCATTTTCCGAAGAGAAACTCCGAAATGACTCCGAAATGGGAGCACTCGAGTTGCACTGCAGTCGCCAGCACGCTGAGCACCCTCTCGCACTCCAGATCTCGGGGACAGTCCCCAGGTGGCTTGCTTGTGTCGCCTGTAAGCTTGTAGACCATGGATGGTCACGGAAAGCGCTGTGGATCTGCAGATTTCGCGGAGCAAAGGCGGCGAAAGCGTCGCAGCCTGGAGATGAACCCGCTTTCCGTGATGCGGGCGATGGCTGCTGCGGTGGTTGTCGTGGTAGCAAACCCGGCGACCCCGGCAGCTTGCGACAGCATCGTAAGGGGGCATCGCGAACCCTCCGCTTCTACGGCAGCGGCGGGGGCGGCCACGCGCAGCCGGCGAGAGGCGTGGCTCGGGAGAGGGTCGCGGCCGCGGCCGTTGTCATCATCAACGGCGGCAGCAGACTGCTGCAACCCATGACCCAACCCATGACCACAGGCAGCACCACTTTCGCCTGTGTTGTCGTATCTCGCGGGTCGGCGATGGCCCCTCGGCGGCCTGCCGCCGGTAGGTCCGCTGTTCTCGTCGCTCT